GGGGGGGCAGGCAGAGGGGGTGGCACGTCCCAGGCCTGGCACAGGGTGACACGGCCAGGGGGGCTGGGGGTGACTCACAGCAGCTGCAGGGACACACGTGTCCTCACACACGTGTCCTCACACACGTGTCCTCACACGCAGGGATGGGGACCCCTCTGGTGGCCACTGGAAGCCTGAGCTGGGTGTGTGTGGGTGTGTGTGTGCAGGTGTGTGTGTGCACATGCAGGGAGACATGCAACCCCCACCTCTGCACACACACGTGCAGGTGTGCACATGCATGTATGTATGTGCACAGACATGTGTGCCCTTACACGTGGCTGCACACGCCCCTGCAGCTCCAGGTGTGCACACACACACACACACGTGCCCAGACACACACGTGCCTGGAGGAACTTGAGAATCCACGTGCAAACCCAGCTCTGCACAAGGACATAAACACGTGCAAACACACCCACACTTGCACGTGGAGCTCTGGAAGTGTGCAGAGAGAAGGGCACACATGCAAGCATACACACAAACGTGCAAAAATGCACGTGCAAGCCCCTCTCTGCATGGATACATACATGTATATATGCACATGTGTACACACACAGACTCACACCATGTGCAAACACACCCATGCTTGCACATGGAGCTCTGTGTTCACACGTGCACACACAGATGTGCACACAGGCGGTTGTTCACACCCTGCTGCACATGCACACGTTTGCACAGATGAACACGTGCAGAAACGTAGCCACGAGCACCGTGCAAACACACCCATGCTTGCACATGGGGCTCTGTGTTCACACGTGCACACACACAGAGATGTGCACACGGGTGGTTCACTCCCTGCTGCACATGCACACGTTTGCACAGATGAACACGAGCACACGCAGGCCCACCCCTGCACACCTGTACATGCACACCTGCTTGTGTAGTCACACATGCAAACACCCCCCCACTTGCAGGCAGAGCTCTGGAAGTGCACACTCACACCCCTGGGTGTGCACACCTGCACTCAGTCACACCCCACTGCACACCTGTGCACACGTATGCATGGGAAATGGGCACAAATGCACGTGCAAACCCACTCCTGCATGCTCACATGTGTGCACATGCACCTATGTACATGCACACACATGTGCAGCCATGCACACGTGCAAACAGACTCACACTTGCACCCAGAACTCTGGAAGTGCACACACACACAAGCACAAGGCACCTGTTCTCATGTCTGCACATGCAAACATGCACCAACATGTGCATACATGCACGTGCAGCCCCATCTCTACAGACAGACATGGAGACACACGTGCAGACACACCCACACTTGCACAAGGAGCTCTGTAAGTGCACACACACACACACACACACACAGATGTGCACACGTGTCCTGTTCACACCCCAGTGCACACCTGTACACACACACCTGCTGGAACACACCAACACCCACACAACCACCCAGCTCTGTGTGCAAACACACCTGCACGTGCACGGACATGTGTGCACTCTGACACCCATGCAAACACACGTGCACATGGGGCTCTGTGTGTCACATACATGTACACACACATGTGCAGACACAC